TACAAATTTGATTTATCCTCATATTACTTTATTCTGCAGAACACCAAAGGAGAGATTTTCTGTGCAGTTATAATGAATGTTCACTAAAGCTTTCAAACTTAAAAAAGCATGCATAAAAGTGGTCAGCACAACCTGTTTTCAACTACAGCGAAAAAATGAAGCCTGAACATGTTTCTCATCTGCAGTTGTGGTAAAAAGTTTATTTTTGACCCTGTGTGCGAGTGTGGTTGGTTACTAAATCAGTAGCAGGCTTCAGTTGGACATGGACAGAGATAGCGGCAGCGGATCAATGCGTGAAATTACAGCGTTTGCCCTTTTCCCTATATTAGGCTGCCCTATGTCCGAGAGAAGACCCCTGAGCACCGATTGCTGATCAAAAACTCCTCGCTCCCCCACAGGCCCCCGAGGGGCTGCGCCATAGACCTACAGCAAACATTTCTCATTCAAGCCATCTGCACTGAGAAAAACCTCATGAGGCCCACATCAATCATTGATCTACTTTAGTGACTGTAATTCCAATGAATCCATCCACGGATATGAGTTTACATCAGCGCACTAACATTCGCCACCTATCAACTGCAGGTTTATACAAATCCATTTGTATTATCCATCTCGACCCACCTTGAGTCTAGAACAGGGTTCCTCAAATCTTGCCCTGGAGGGCCAATGCGCTGCAGAGTTTAGCTCTAACCCTGATCAAACTCACCTACCTGTGATTTTCGTATGACACTGAAGACACTGATTAGCTTGCTCAGGTGTGTTTGATTAGGGTTAGAGCTAAACTCTGCAGGAAAGTGGATCTCGTGGGCCAGATTTGAGGATCCCTGGTCTAGAAGGTTTGTGCCTTCTGTTGTGCTGTAACTATTTCTGCATCAATACATTCTGCTTCAAAGGGATTTATAAGAGATAAAGGGTGGTGTTCGCAGACTTTTCAATTCTCCCTTCAGCACCAGAAGTCCTTGTACCAGACTAAAGCACACTTGACATTGCACATACGCCTTTAACAAGCTCCCAACCCATCATGCATTCACAACAGGGTGCTGTCAATAGACTTACCCGGGAATTTTTAAAGACATTCCTCAAAAATGCAAGGAAATTCAATTAATCATTGATCCATCCTTCTCCGTGCAAACTGACTGATCTCATTTCGGTTCTGGGTTTGTCTGCAGGCTAAATATTATGAATATGAGGATGTGCAAAATAGGAAGAGCCAGACTCATTGGGCTCATTGTCACTTGATCTCTTTCTCTGAATGCCTTGATTTTCAGTGGAAGATGTAAGTCCTTAAACATAGTGATTCATAATACAGGTACATCAATTGTTTGGATTCTTGTTTCCGTGTCGGACTCGTAGCACTGTGCAAGAATCAGTCTCAAGATCAAAACAGAACTGTGATGCAATGCCATTACAGAGCCATAAGACAATGATAGAAAGATAAGGCACTGTATACATACGAATGGCTCCAAAATGAAGCAGGCCTCTCAGTCCGAGGAAGCCAGTGTGATGTCAGTTAGTCACAAAACTGAGGAATCTAATATGAACCTTCAGCAGTCTCTGTGATGTTGCATTGACCCAATCTCACGACCCAGTCGAGCCAATTTAATTTTGTAGTTCAGCCAAACAGGCGATGCAATTGACTTCTTGAGAGTTGCTGAGATACCAGCATCTGGGTATATGAAAAAGGCAGAGAGACTAATGATTTAGGACACCTCATTTACCACCAGTCTGATAAAGAAGAAATGTTGTGTCCATGATCTTTAACTGCGAACAAGTATAATACAACCTATCATGGGAAAAAGTATAATGATGACCTGCAGAGAATGCTGTCACAATGGGAACCTGCATTAAATAGCCTATTCAGGTTAAACAGTACACAAACAGAAACACAGAGTTTAGAAACACATAATTCATGAATTAAAAAATGGAAGGGGTTACAAAAATCTCAAACCATTTCAGACTTGCAATTAATAAATAATGCAAAATTACACCATATAAACCACAATGTTTTTCCCCCCCCTGTTTATGTATTATTAGACAATGGATTTGTTTTTATGACTGTTACTTCTCTAAATATGTGTCTGTTAATGAGACGCCTTGTTTTGCTGTGTCAGTTTTGAGTCGCTCCATAATTGCTCATTAAATGTTGTGAAATGTCATTTGGAGAGTATACATTCAATATGAAACCAGAGCATCAATTTTAAAGGAATAGTTCATCCAAAAAATCTAGATGAGTTTCTTTCTTGATTGGATTTGGGGAAATTTAGCATTACATCACTTGCTTACCAATGGATCCCCTGCAGTTAATGGGTGCCATCAGAATAAGAGTTCAAGCAGCTGAAAAAACATCACAATAAACCACAAGTAATCCAGTCGACTCCAGTCCATCAACATCTTGCGAAGTGAAATCCATCATTAAGGTATTTTACCTTTAACTTTCCTTAATAATGCTTCCTCGAGTGAAATAGTCCAACCATAATCAAAATCTACCTACATATTTGTTTAGAACTGTTTTGGACTGTTTTCGCTTGTAAAATGTGCTCCTGATTCAGATAAGACAAGTTTTTCAATGGAGAAAACAGCTTTTCACTTCATAAGACATTAATTTATGGCCAGGAATCATGTTGTTGTGGATTATTGTGATGCTTTTAGCAGCTGTTTGGATGCTTATTCTGATGGCACGCATTCACCTCAGAGGATCCACTGGTGAGCAATTGATGTAATGCTCAATTTCTCCAAATCTGTTCTGGTGAAGAAAAAAACTCATCTACATCTTGGATGGCTTGAGGGTGAGTAAACAATTGCAGAGTGAACTATTCCTTTAAAATATAAAAGATTGTCAAAAATGTAAATATTGACAGTTGAAGTTAATATTTCTTGTACAAACTCTGTTTTGAATTTCAATAGGGCTGCATAGATTCAGGACCTTGGACAGAGACACTGCAGTCGACGCCACTCTCCAAAACGTCTGTTCACGCACAGTGAATGCCATGGTTGGTTAAAGCTGCCTAATTGATTTGCCCATTCAAATATCTGAGGGAGGACAAATGGCTGCAAGTGACATTTAAAAGTCACTTTTGAAAGTATTCACTCATTTAAAGCCATCTTAGACGGTTTTTGAGAGAATACAGTCAAAGTGTCTCAATAGACTTGAAGTACTCTCTTAAAAATGATTACTTGCTTCACAACCATATTCACTGGTAAAAACGTTTTATAATGGATGTTTCTTTGAACATTAAACAGTTTTGTTATAGGTTCGCTAAAGCACCAGTGAATTCTGAAAAACTGTGGAACTTAAGTTGTGGCATTCTAATCTTTATTTTTAAAAGTGTCGCTTGTTGACAACAGTATACGATCAATACATTTGTACAAAACCAAATGTCTCTAACCTAATTGATTTGCCCATTCAAATATCTGAGGGAGGACAAATGGCTGCAAGTGACATTTAAAAGTCACTTTTGAAAGTATTCACTCATTTAAAGCCATCTTAGACGGTTTTTGAGAGAATACAGTCAAAGTGTCTCAATAGACTTGAAGTACTCTCTTAAAAATGATTACTTGCTTCACAACCATATTCACTGGTAAAAACGTTTTATAATGGATGTTTCTTTGAACATTAAACAGTTTTGTTATAGGTTCGCTAAAGCACCAGTGAATTCTGAAAAACTGTGGAACTTAAGTTGTGGCATTCTAATCTTTATTTTTAAAAGTGTCGCTTGTTGACAACAGTATACGATCAATACATTTGTACAAAACCAAATGTCTCTAACCCTATGCTCATTTTTCACAGACAGCGTTCCTTAAACACTAGAGGTTTTACTGAAGCAGTAAGACTGATATAAAAAATGAGGAAATGGAGATTGTGATGAACAGTATGATTTATGATTTATGGGACTAAAGAGAATAGGGAGTTAAAGACCAGAAAATGAAAAGTCAGTGGTCATTCATTAAATGTCAACAAAATGTGTTAAATGTCTTTAATCTATTTCAAAGACTCATGTCTGCCATTTGCTTTCTGTCCTGTAACATTTAGTTTCAGTGTCTAAATTTAGTATTTCTGAGCCATGTGTCTCAAACTTTGATATAATGTCTAATAAAAATACACAGGAACGTGTCACAACCCTCCCTCAGCCATGATGTGTGGATGTTATATGTGACCCTGGAGCACAAAACCAGTCATACTGTAAGTGGCATGGGAATATTTGTAGCATTAGCCAATAATACATTGTATGGGTCAAAATTATTTATCAAATTATAATCAAGATTGTTCTTTTATGCCAAAAATCATTAGGATATTAAGTAAAGATCATGTTCCATGAAGATATTTTGTAAATTTCCTACCATAAATATTTTTTGCACCCTAAGATTCCAGATATAGTTGTATCTCAGCTAAATATTGTCCTATCCTAACAAACCATACATCAGTGGAAACCTTATTTATTCAGCACGTGTAAATCTCAATTTCATAAAATTGACCCTTATGACTGGTTTTGTGGTCCAGGGTCACATATAAAATTCAAACAAGAGAACCTACTGATTCAGATCACACCAGTTCTGACATTTAACATCCATCAAAATGATCACAAATTAAAGTAGCCTAAATAAATGTGAAATTATACTTTCTTAACCCAGAATTGTTTTTTGTTCCGTAAATCCGATTTTTACAATTACTTTCACCTCATGAGGGTCAATGATAGTGATTTAGCTCATTTGCAATAGGTTTAACTGATGGAATTTACGGTTTAAATTGGTGAATAGCCTATACTATTAGTCAATGTTTGTTATGTCACTCATTTGTGAATTTCAAAGGAACACAACTGCACATACATTACTGCAAAATTACCGGACTGCACATCTGACAGCAAAAACACCGTGTATCATCCTGTATTCTAACTATGTAACTTAGCTTTTGTTTCATCGGGACAGTCCAACCGAAAGGTTGGTCGCGTTATAACTGAGCTTTCGCACGGCTGAGGACGAGAAGTCGCCTATGCTGTCTCGGAATACAGCACAGAAAGAGAATGAACACACGAACCCCCGCGAGAATGTGTGTGTGTGTGTGATGGAATAGAGAAGGCGCATGTGTGATGAGTGTGTATGTATATGTAGACACTGCCCACCGCTGTCGCGCTCCCCCCACCTTGCATGTCTACCGCCGGACGGAGTCGCACCAGGGTTCGTGCCACTGCAGGGGAAAAACCCGGCAAGAATGGATTTCTAACAACGTTTCTCCTTTCTTTCCTTTACCCAACTGACGTCATCCTCAATGTCTCTCACAAATTTGAACTAACAAAATGAGGATTTCTTGTAATCAGCTTTTACTGCTATTCTCTTGCGTTTGGGGACTTACTATGGGTGCTTTTCCGAGCAGCGTTCAAATCGGTAAGTACGGCGGTTCATCTCAAAAACACGAGCTTCACGTTAAGTGCGTTAAACTGTGTCAATTGAATGACAAAAATAAGACCGTCTGCATTGGGGTCAACTGCGAATGTCAGTGCGCAAATAATGCGGTTGGAAGTAGGTATTGTTGCATGACAGCAAAGGGTAATTTTGGGAGGAAATAGTTTTTTGGATACTTTTTGTTTGTTTGTTTTTTAGCTGTCAACCAGATCATTTAGCCACGTTTTGGTTATGGCACCACTGCAGTGCTCTCCGTGGCACAAATGTTGTTCTGAAGGTGGATCATCCTGAACCAGGGCATTAACGCAGTGAAAGTTTATTTATTTATAAATGAATGCTTGGTAAAAATGAAAATAATTTGGATATATATTCACAAAGCGACTTAAATATCAGTTCACCACCTCGTCAATGGAAAGTGGTTTAATTTATTCCAATACTGCATCAAGCCCTATGTCATAAGCCCTGAGACTCTTGGTGCCTGTGAGATTCCTGATCTCTCTTATTGTTTGACCGAGAATAGCCTATGTAAAGTGTATTGTTATCTGAGGAATAGAATGCCATAATCACACTATAAAAATACATCAAATTTACAGTAAAAAACTGTCAGCTGTGCTTGTGTGAAATTCAATGTGGTGACGTTTCAGGCATTAAGGGAGGTGTTTTGTTGCCTTTTACATTTTGTATGTTTAGACATTATCATTGACTGATTATTGAAACAATTTAATTAATACTGAGTAGCCTAACTTTGACAGAAAATAGCCAGTTAGTAAGTTATTTCTTTTTAGTCAACGAAAATAGTTCCAAAAGTAGCCAGTGTTGCCAACTAATTTTCAGGGGAAGTTGCTAAAGGAAGGTCGATTTGTTGCTAAAAAGTTGCTAAATGATGTTGCGATGTCATTGCGCGATGACGTCGTTACGTAATCACGACGCAAAATTGTCACTGCATCAAATCTCAGCAAAAATTATATTTTATATATGTTAATTTAGATTTGTTCGTAGAATAATATAAATGCATAATATAATATTAAAATATAAACAACTGTATTTTTAAACACAATATTGATTTGTTGAACACTTACACATGTTTTGAACAATTTAAGATTTTTTTTATTAGCTAACTTGTAAAACTACACATTCTGAGCAGTATGCTACACTCTACAAATCTGTAAAAATAGGGCAAAATCTACTATGTTAATATGAAGGAATTTTCCGTATTGATTTTTCGCAGGTTTTTTACCTGCATTTTTAATTACGGATTGTATTTAGTGTTTTCGGGTTACAACAGACAATGTCCTGGAAAATTACTAGTACCTTTTCCATTTTTCTAGATATTTTTCTTACAGTGTACTAAGTGATCGACAATCGCAGGTACACGCTAACAAGGTGTATCATTAATGAACAATTATTAAATTATTATTATTATTAATAAATTGAACAATTGCAAACAGCAAGTAACTTGATTCACGTGATGGGTGCACTCATCTTTGGTTTCCTCTTTTTGTGTAATTTAGATGAAAAATGTGTGCCTTTTTTTATAATTTGAGTAACTTATTAAAAGTTGCTAAAAGTTGCCAAATAAATGTTAAAAATAGCTAAATTTGTTGCTAGATGCTTTTGGAAGAAAAGGTTGCTAGGGTAGTGTGAAAAGTTGCTAAATTTAGCAACAAAATTGCTAAGTTGGCAACACTGAACGTGATATTATGTCGTGGCCACGAGATCATTTTGTCGAGGTAACGTCATCCTTATGACTTCTTATGTTGAGGGAACGACATATTTTTCTCGTGGCCATGAGTTTAATGCATAAACAAACCTGTGTGACCATAGCAACCCGGGATTATCAAAAATGGATAAAACATTTTTATTAACATTAAACATTTAATTTAATATTTGTATATTATTATTATTACATTAACTTATTAGGGCTATATTTTTATATTTATTGTTATATATGCTTATTTCCCCTTTCAATTTGTGTAT